ACATCTTTATACATTTTGAATGCATTAATGCTTTCTCAGGGATTTTCTTATTATCTGTATTTTGTGATTTTCAGTTATCCACTCTTTATTTTTTACCTTTAAAAATGTATTAATCACAATAATTAACTGTTAACAATAACCTTATTTGGAAGAACCCAAAGTGCCACACTGTAATGAATTGAACTTGATGAATGCAAAAGTGTGTAAATATTAACACAGCCAGTATGCTGCAGTATGTAGTATTTAACTTAAACTAAATAAAATAATGTTTCTCTGAAGACTTGGTCAGTTATTATTCTTCCAAACAGCTGTTACTGTAATACTACTTCTAAAAAAGCACAAAACAAACACATTGAATACATCTTTCACACAAATTGGCAGTTTGGATGCAGGTACTTTGATGTGTTCTTGGTGGAAACAAAGCAGACATGGCAAGAACATGTACACTTCACAAACAAACTCAACTCAATGTCTGTCATTATCAGAAAGGTTGTTACAAAAAAGGATAACGTCATTAAAATCCTTTAGCTCCTACATTGCCCAAAACACCTCAGTCCACCAACTTTTCTTGGATACATGCTAATACATCTTTCCTTAATTCTACTTTGATCAGATATAAGGGAAACATTCCCTGTGAACATACTTTTATAAAACGAGCAAAGGGCATCTGTCTCCCTCTATAGAGTAAAAGGTGTTTTGTCAGGGCACCCTGAATGTTAGGCCAGTTTTCAGTGACTTGGACCAGGGAAGCTTAAACAAGAGGTTGTGAACACTCACTGTCAAAATGGCCATACATTTTAGTTTCTGAATGACTACATGAAAACTCTAAGAGGATCCTGTTATTCTGTCCTTCTGCTGACACTATTGATCAGTTATGTGTTTAGAAATGTTTAGTATGTGTTGTTTCTAGTGGCATTACAATTCACACACACTGTAAAAACCTTGGCCATGCCATGAGATAAGTTATAGAATAAGAGATGTGACTGGATAGAACCAAGACCTTCCGATTCGTGGACGACCGCTCTACGTCCTGAGTCACAGCCGCTCCAATGTAGTCACATCGGTATTAATTTGACATTCAAATTTCTGGTCATTTATTTAAAAAATGTTCTGCTTTATCTATGCAAAAGAGTATGTACATCTATTAAAAGGACATAACCCAATAAGGCTCTCAGTTCCTTTGTCAGCGAAAATATGGATCTTGTCTCATTGATGTTGATTTGCTTATTGAGTTGAGCCGACATGACTTTGATACGGACAACTGATTTTCTCATTGAATGGATTACAGTAGTGGCAGCAGATGGCAAGGCGAGGCAATCCCTGGTAGCCCCAGTGCTGACACCTCAATCCTTCCGCTCCATCTGACTTGGGGGTGACAACAGGAGTTGCTGAAGTGAACCTACAAAGCTTAACCGTGTGTACTTGGACTCAGGCAGTCATCCTGAGTGCAGTGTCACAGAAGCTTATGCTGTTACAGCAGGCATAAGATTATCCTGCTGGGACATTGAACTGCCTTCATTCACTTGAAATTAACTTTTCCTTTGTGTTAGTTTTTTAAGTCTTGAGATAGTTGTCAAGTTTTGTTGGAGTTTTGATCGACTGTCAAAATAAATGATAGTTCTATCAAAGTCCTAGATTGATTTAGGGTTCAAAACTCATAATCAGATTATGACATATTTTATGCCTTTGCAACTCGGGCACCTGTTCCATGTCCACGAAGAGGACAGCAACAACTCTATAAGTTAATCTCACTCTTTGACAACACTACAAACAAGGAGCTTATATAAAAAAGCTGCTTAGACTGACAGAGGTTTGTGAACTAGCATTCAAGGTCATCCTCTGAAGGATAACAAATATGTGCCTTTACATGTTTGATGCGCTACAACGGACCACAGTGAAAAAGCTAACTCGTATATGGAATATAATATTTCTAAAGATAAATCGCTCTTGAATAAATGAACAGCTAATCATGACAAACATCTGAGTGAGGGATTACCAGTGACGTGTGTTCAATCACCTACAGGGCTCTGTCATCATAAATGTTCCCACTAAATACATAATCGTCCAGCTGGCTCATAGCAGTGTGTTGCTAAAGATTGTCTGCATCTTTGCAACAATCACAGGGCTGAGGAGTGAAGAGACGTGACAGTTATCCCTGCCAGGCAAAACCTCAAAGCAGCACTGAGCTGACGGCGGCAGCTTCTTACCTGTGCCGACCACTAGAGAATCATAAAGAAGAAAATGAAGGACTATTATATGTTTGACTATGATAGAAATCTTAAGAATCATTGCTGTAGAGGACTATTAACAGTGATCAAAACGTTCAGATTTAGATACTTTAGTCGTTTCTGTCTGTCTAGTCTAGTGTGCATAAACTTCCCTAACATTGTCCAATCACAAGAGGTGTTCTGATGCCATGTTTGAAGTCTTTTTTTACAACTGTTCTAACAAATGTCCCCTCCAGTCTGGATACAAGGTGATATAGAATATTCAATATGGCCCTTTTGTTTTAGTTCTCGTCATCTCGCCTCTCCTCTCATTCCCCTGTTTCCTGCAGGCAAATGGCCTTGTAGCTTTAGCAGTCTTTTCCCACAGCTGTGTATTGGTCTGACTCTTGATAGTTGATTCGGCTTGCCAAAAACATTCATAAAACAATCTCTTCTTCAGATAATAACAGGACCAAGCTGACGCATAGTGTCAGAGAGCAGTAAGGACAACCTGGAGCCCATCTTATCAGGTGGATAGCTCCAATTATTCCCTGATAGAAACAGAGCTTGATTTGTCATCGAATGTTGATTATTCTCTTAGGAATAGTTCAATATCGAGGAGAGAGCAAGAGAAATTCAGAGTAGGCTGGGCAGAGGCTTTATCACTACGGTGTCATATGTCTATACAATAAATCTTCTGTGTCTGACATCAGTTCGAAGCTCTCCTTTGTGCTCCATGTGTACCTGCTCTTTGCTCCAAGAATTTCATCACACAATATACTACAGGACAAGCTACCAGAACTGTTGGCATCAGGTTGTGAATATTTGTGTAAACTGTGGTATGTTAATTTGCCTTGGGTGGGCCCAGCTAGTCAAATAGTTGTTTGTTGTGCAAAAGGCAAAGCAAGGTAAGTTTGTATGGCACCTTTCAACTCAGTGTTTTACATTATAATAAATGGTAGGCTATTTCAAGTGCTTTACATAAAGCTCAGCCGTGCACAACTTAAAAAAAAGTGTACGAACATAACGAGTAGAATAATAAAAAACGGAACATTACACCTGCTAAATCTTTAACTGTGAAAGCACAAGAGGTACAAAAGACAATTTATTGCGGACTATATTAAAACCATTGCAACTTTTGGAACCTTTGAGACAATCTAACCTGTTTTGTTTCGGTTTCAGGATTACAAAACTGATTCAGACAACAGATTCAAAAGGGTCTGTGAGCATAGCCCCCGTAGACTGCACCTAGTTTGTAATCCTTTTATACACCAGTTAAGTCAACAGAAAGAGCTCTGTTTTCAATACCACTTTGTTTTCCTAAAATCAAGAGTGACTTAGCAAGGATAACAGAAATCAGTCTGTGGACACAGCAGGCAGTCACATTCGTGTATTTAGTGTCTTTGCCCAGTTTGATCTGATTAATGAGCTGAGCTACATGCCATGAGCTACATGCAACAGTGACACAGTCATCACTGTAGCTTGATAGACCAGTACAGGAACAAACAAGCAACGTTTTTGATGTTTTTTGACACATATTTGATACCGCACTGTGTATAAGTGAGGAAATCAGTACCTGCAAGACTTGCACAAACATTTGGGTTACCAATTAGGCAGCAAGAGGCTCCAGAGAGCACTCACCTCACCTTATGGCAGAGGAGTGGAATTAAGGGTCAACTTGTTGCTGCTCTTTGAATCTCTGTACTAATGGTTTTTCTCCTCATCACCCCCATTCACGCTCCCCCTCTAAGAAGACCACATTTCATGGAAGGTTAAGCCACTTTGCTGCTTTCGGGTGGCTGTATTCTCCTGAAGTCATTAGTGTCACTGACAGGGCCAATATGGGACAAAGGGACTGTCTTTAGTCTGGTGTTAGTCTACCCGGTAACAGTAAACTGAGACACATATGTTTACTAGAACTAGGACAAATTACCCATATTGTAATGTTTTGTTTCCTTTGTTTAGTAGTTAGTAGACTATTTCACTTGTGGACTAGAAGTAAACTTCTAAAACCTCAAGTCAGCATTGAGGGCAGAAGTTCATGACGATTGTAGCCAGCATAAGCATATTGACAATTGCTAAAACATGTGAAGCGTCTTTGCCTGTAAACCTTTTTTAGCTTTTCTTATAACATAAATGTATGTCGGTATATGTATAGGTCTCAGAATCAGCTATTTGTGAAAGGTTCAATAGGAATAATTGAAACAACAATTTTAATCGATGTTAATCTACAGAGAAACTGACGATCTTTACTATGCAGCAGCCAAATGTATGAAGCCATTTGGTAACAAAGTTGGTGATGGTTATTTTGTTTTCAGTGGTCACCTTTGTGTAATCCAGTTATGCATGTAGGAGGTGTGACTGATTGATTTACCCATAAAGACAGTAAAGATTAAGAGGATGACAAATCAGCATTTGCTTACACAGCGCCTAGTGCTAATCTCCTTGTCTTCCTTCAGAAAGCCCCCAGACGTCTCAGACTCGTTCTGGCAGAGAGAAAGAAAGAAGAAGAAGTAACTCTATTGACCCCCCATTACATGAGAAACGACCAGAGGAGGACAACATCCCTGGATCAATATCATCGATCATTTCTGGAGTAACTCTCTGATAACCACTGAAGAAATTAAGCTTTAACTAGAGCATTTAATAGAAACAATTACACATGCTTTATAGACATTACCATGCGTCAAGACTTCACATGACAAAAATCCTTGATCCAGCTGGGCATTTCACAAAAATACTTTATCCAGAAGAGGAAATACTTCTAGTAAGTTCAGATATCAGAAACTGAAAATGGAGGACCACCTGAGAAAAATGAACCAGTTTTCTTCTGACACATCTAATGACTTCACAGATGGACTGCAAGGTGAGCCACGATGCAACAACATTTAAAAAAAGAAATATTGCAAATATTTTGTACAGCGAATTATGTCGTACGAATAATTATCTTTACAATAGTTGTTTGTATTGTTTATTCCATATTAAATAATCAGACAAAAAAAAAAAATCTGTCCATTTTAGTCATCGACTGATCCTAGTTTCTCCTATCTGTCCTCGACAGAAATGAATCCAGTCCGAGGTAAAGCACATGTCGGCAGTTTGCTGTGTAACGTGTGCTCTGACTCAAGCAGTGGAAAACATTATGGCATCTACACCTGCAATGGCTGCAGCGGCTTCTTCAAGCGCAGCGTAAGACGAAGAATCATCTACAGGTTAGCACTTTTATCTAATAAGGTAGACATAATTGTAACATGTATGATAGGGAAATACAACTGGTGTAATAAGTCATTATTTGTATTTTAACACACTATTTTTTGTCGATATCACAGGTGTCAGGCTGGAACAGGCAGGTGCCCTGTAGACAAGGCTCATCGAAACCAATGTCAAGCTTGTCGATTGAAGAAATGTCTCCAAGCTGGCATGAACAAAGATGGTGAGTTTACTAGTGTATTACATGTGCATACAATATTTCTGTGGCTTAGACTGTTTTCATAAGATATATTTAATTGTCTTTTCTCCAGCTGTGCAGAATGAGCGACAGCCTCGAAGCACAGCCCATGTGAGTCTAGACTCTCTATGTGACCCTAAAAGAGAGCATCTGGCCACCACACAGGAGCTCACTTCCTCTGCTTGCTACGCATCAGTCATCTGCAGACCCCTGGTCACTTCCTCCGTCCCCTCTGCCGCCATGCAGCCCTGCAGCAACCCCAACAACTACCAGCGCTTTATGGCCAGCCTGCTGACTGCAGAGACCTGTGCAAAACTGGAGCCCCAGAATGGTGAGATCTTATGAAATAAGTTAACATAAGGTGGACACAACAAGGACTTTACTAATGTTTTGAAATACATGTTTTTATTTGGTTTGGCTTCTTATGTCTATGATAAGGGGAGGTTTGCCTTTAAAGATGAGAACAAGAGTAACCTAATCATAATAATAAATTTCAAACTTTACAATAATGTACTCCCAGTAGCCTTATTGTTTGTGTGACTCTCTTTTTCTAATGCACAGCGGAGGAGAACATTGATTTCACAACCAATGATTCAAAAAGAGATCGGACTCCCTCTGACTGTCGTATGTCCCCGTACACCTCCAGCTGCTCAGAGAGTATATATGAGACATCAGCACGACTCCTCTTTATGTCTGTCAAGTGGGCAAAGAATTTGGCAGTTTTTGCTCACTTGCCATTTCGAGACCAGGTGAGACTGACTGACACATTTTTATATATAAAGTTAACCAAAGAACTTAAACATACAACGTGGACTGATAACATGCATTTCTGTGACATCCTCAGGTGATTCTGCTTGAGGAAGCTTGGAGTGAGATGTTCCTCTTGTGTGCCATCCAGTGGTCCCTGCCCATGGACAGCTGTCCTCTTCTGTCTCTGTCAGATCTTTCTCCCACACATCAGGCCAAGCCCAGCCTGCCCAGAGTTGACCTGCGTGTCATTGAAGAGGTCTTTAATCGCTTTAAGGCCCTGGCTGTTGACCCCACTGAGTTTGCTTGCCTGAAAGCCATTGTACTCTTCAAGCCAGGTGATGAGATCTTCCCCTCAGAAATATTAATTTGTTATTGAATGGATATTGTAACCAATTTTATGCTGTTTTACCTGCAGAGACAAGCAGCCTCAAAGACCCGGAGCAGGTGGAGAATCTGCAGGACCAGTCACAGGTGTTACTAGGTCAGCACATCCATTCACTATACCCCAGCCAAAGTACCAGGTGAGCCTATCTCTCTCTATGATCTACAAACATAACAACACCTGGAGTACATCCAGTTTGTCATATAAAAGCCCAAACAGAAACGTGATGTTAACTCTCGTTTGTTCTTGTCTATAAAGGTTTGGGAGACTAATACTTCTGCTGCCATCGCTCCACTCTGTGAGCTCGGAGAAAATAGAGCAGCTGTTCTTTCACAGGATCATCGGCAACACACCCATGGAGAAACTGCTGTGTGACATGTTCAAAAACTAAGACCCTAATGAAAACAAGCACACTGGAAGCCAAATCCAGTTCACGCTCAAGAAACATGTTTTATGTTTGATTGCTTGGTACCCATTTACAATAAGACTACCCTTATAAAGGGTTTACGAATAGTTTGTAATTAATCTATTAATTAGGTTGTGAACACTTTATAAATCATTAATAAGGTTTTTATAAGACATAAACAGGGCAACTGTGACCGGTTGCTTGCCAAATAGTGAGCCCACATTTATCTGTACTGCTAACTCTTATCTTGGCTACCTAGCTTACTTTCGTCTCCTTCATCAGCCAGCATCCTTGGTATCTGTTGTTCACTGTGATGATTCTCGCTAAGTGGCCAATATAAGGCTTAGTCATCTTGCCAAATAGTGAGCCTGTGTTGAACTGGTTTAAAAATGGTTCTTAATGATTAATAAAGTGTTTACAACCTAATTAATAACCTAATTATAAACCCTTTATGAATCCTTTATAAGGGTAGACTTATTGTAAAGTGGTACCAAATCAATATATACATATGTGTATATTATAATTATTAGGAGCATAGTTACAGTGGTTGATTAAATTCCAACCAGGAAACAGGTTAAATGAAGCTTGATTGGATTAAAGCATGAATGCACGCAGGCTGACTCGTGATAGAAATATCTGTTTCCTCAATATTCCTTTCCTTCCTAGTTTCTGACCACAGCAGCGTTCCCAGTAAAGAGTCTAGACGTCGGCTGCACCACAGTCGAAGAAATGTTGGACATCAGACTTCCTCTTTGCAATGATAGAGGGCTGGAGTTTTGGTTTGATGATGATAGATAAATTGGTTGGCTTATTAATGACATTTCAAAGAATGGATTATAAGCGCCTGATTTAGTTTTGATGTTAAAGTGTGCTTCAGTTTCTGTTACTCATACAATAGAAATTCTACAGCCATGCTAGTGCTTGAGCTAAGCTAAATGCTAACAATAACAACGCTAACATGCTAATGTGTATCAGTGTTCACAATCTTACTATGATGCTAGCATCCTCAAATTTGCTATAAAGCGCTAAACACAAGAACATATTCGGCTAATGGATATGTCTCTTTCTGCAGGTGTTTGGTCATGATGTATTGGATTCAAAAAATAAAATGTATCCTGAGGGGACCATGAATGTATCAACAAAATTACATGGCAAACTATCATATTGTATGTCCAGATATTTCACTTGAAAGTGTTGCACATTAGCCTCCTTTAGCTTAGCGGTGGTGACGTGAAGTCACGTGTTGTAGTTCCTTTATAGCCCAACATTAGCCACCTTTAGCTTAGCGGTGGTGACGTGAAGTCATGTGACCGTGCTGTAGTTCCTTTATAGCCCAACATTAGCTGCCTTTAGCTTAGCGGTGGTGACGTGAAGTCATGTGACCGTGCTGTAGTTCCTTTATAGCCCAACATTAGCCACCTTTAGCTTAGCGGTGGTGACGTGAAGTCATGTGACCGTGCTGTAGTTCCTTTATAGCCCAACATTAGCCNNNACAAAGCCAGAGTTAAAAAAATATCAATATGAACATTTCAAATACTGCGCTGGCATCGCCACCGTAACCATAGCAACGTAAGTAGCGTAAAGACTGCAGCGCCGCAAAGTACAGATGGCAACACCCAGAAATATTCACAAATATAAAACAAATATTCAGAAACTGTAATGAATATAGTTCTATTATTTACTTCAATAACTTTTATTTACAGAAACTCAACATTTTTAATCTGTGTGACACAAATATGCACGATTGTTTTGGGCTCCCCCTATTTATCTCAAAGTCGGCCTTCAGGGGAGCTCCCTCCCTCTTCGGGGGAGCCAAGCTCCCCTGGCTCCCCCCCCCATTTCGAACAGTGATGAAAACTATGTTAGAACTGGTTTATAAATGGTTCTTAATGATTAATAAAGTGTTTACAACCTAATTAATAACCTAATTATAAACCCTTATGAATCCTTTATAAGGGTAGTCTTATTGTAAAGTGGTACAGAGAAAGCAGATCCAAAATACTATGTTTAATATGAGCACCAAACCAGAAGCTAGAATTGTTATCTTTTGCAGTACTACAGCGGAGGTCAGTAAATTGGGCTGTTGGGATCATTTTTATACCAGAAATGGAAAGCGGGTTCAGATGGCTGAAGTTTTAAAAGTCACATTTGGCTACTAAACATAATGAAAGAAAAGTTCAGCGTTTGCATTTTATTTTCTACCTATCTTTAGTGTGAATATTATAAAAGATGTATGTGTTATTTGTAGGTATAGGGTCATGCATTTTGCCATTGTCACTCAGGGAAGTCACAGCCAGCAGGCATTTTACAGACTTTGCCCTGAGAGTCCCCTGGTACAATGTATAATGGCCAAGTGTGAATAGAGCTGCTCATTCTCAAGAGAACTCACAGTAAGTGAGTTGGCGCCAAACCGGAAGAAAACAAACATTGATGGGTAGGAAAGAAGGGACCTTCACAGGAAGACACCATCGAAATGTCACAAAGGCCAGATGACAAGTTTGGCAATATCTGTCGAAATGGGAAAACACTTAAATCGTTGGATAAATTAAAGATACGGCAAGACACTCTGTTCATACTCAAAATTAAAAGCCAACTAAATTATTGCGATCTAATCCCTCTCATATTGTGGCTTTTTCTCTGGTGGACCCCTCATGTAAACCTATGGCGTGAACAAAAAGCGTATTTCGAGTAAGTGTGATCGCTCCTCACACAGAATATATTTCGTTCTGTACGGGACAGGGAAATTCTTAACATTTTGTGGATCTGATTTTCCAGTAATGTTCCCAAGTCAATAAAAGACTATATGGATGAGAGCAATGCTAATGTCACTTCCTGGCAAAATTCGGCCCTGCCCACTTTCGGGGGAAACAAAGCATTGGCGCAAAGCGGAAAACAATATTATTATCATGGCAAAAAGCTGCTTTGTGGTGTATTGCACTCACCTCAAACATAAAAATAAATCCAGAGTTACGTTTTCCTCTAACAAAAAGGACATAAAAGAAGAGATCTGTGGCTTCAGGCTATTCAAAGAGGACGTAAATCATATAGATATGACACCTCTGGCCATTGGGGCGGGTCATTTGTCCACTTGTCCACCGGCTGACTGAATGGACATCAATCCCTATCTATTTCAATGTAACCCTATCAACCCTATGTTGATCTCCAATGGTGTCATTTAATTGTTTGCCTTACTGGACATTGTAATCGGGGCTCCTTGTTTTAATAACAAGGAAGGCACATAAAATAAGATATATCAGTCTTAAGCTAGACACATCATTCTTGTTGGTGGTGGTCTTTTTTTTGTGTGATTTGTTGACAATAAAAATCAAATATACCACCAGACTTATCCTTGAAGCTTACTGGGTTTCTTGTGCATAAATCTTTTTAATGATCCATATATATTTGTGATTAAAAGCCAACATATTTGCGTTATTTTCTGAATTTATGTCTCACCATTACTTTTCTATGAGTCACAACCAAGAACTAAAAACACCCCAGGGCCACAAACAGGAAAACAGCAAGGTCAGTATTTACTGTGGCGTTGGTAATATAAAGCTCATCTCAGTGCTAGTGTCTCCAATTAGGAAAGACCAGTGGCTCGCCGCTCTTTCTTAATAGTTTCCCCGTATCTGACACTCTTCATTTCACGTAATGAGATTCTTCAAGATGTGAATAAAGGTATGCCTATGATTTGGTACAAGGGCTGAAAATGAGATAGGCCTCGGGGCTCACTTCAAACACGACAACAATTTCAGCTGAAGAGAAACTGTGTGGCTACAAACCAGACATCTGTTCTCCGTCCCTCATTGGGCTGAAAAGAAGCAGCAGGGGCCTCTGTGCCAAGGAGCCCCTTGTCTACATCTCTGCCAACTTATTTGTCACCGCGGCCCCATTGACCAGCAGTCACTCAGCCTAATGGTGCGGTCATCTGTCGCCTCATCTCCAGGGTGGGAGGGTTATTTAGAAAATGTAATCTGTTACAATTACTAGTTACCTTTGCAACCAGTAACCTAATCAAAGTACACTGAAAAAACTGAAACGTTGACTTTTAATTAAATGTACTATGTCAACAGGTTCCACATAACTGTATTAGGTTAGTTGAAAGCAATACTATTAAGTTGAACCTAATATATATTTTTAAACGTAATATTATTGGTTTCAACTAACCTAATATCTGTTGACATAATACATTTAATTTCAGTGTATACACTGAATTCTAGGAACTTTTTTTTCTACTTGCGTTTAAATTTAACGCGTTTGTGTTTCATTATTTATTTTGTGTAATCGGTATAACTGGTACCCTTTACCCCTGTGTCGTTTATGTACGACGGTAGTGGTTGCTTCAATCTCCGGAAACCGTATTATTTTGGTCACGGTTTATATACATTTTAGACATTTCAAAAACATTTTGATTGTCTTTGTTTGAGAGTTACCGGTGGTAGACGTCTAGTGTGTGTTAGTTTAAATGTTTCTCTACATTTTTCTACAAATGTCGGCTGTCAGGTAATAAAATTTGCATACTTCGTGTAAATTGCGTGGGAGAACCAAAGTTGAGCTGTGCTACCAACGGTAGCTACCAGCTAGACCCACCTGGACCAGTGACTACTTCCGCTTATAAGTACAGGAAAACTTCGTGGTAATTTATTATCGAATCGCGTATTCTCTATTACTTAATCCATCTACGTATGGAAAAATTTGACAGTGAGAATCGCTTAAGTCTCGGATAGATAATGGTCGACGATTTCGTTGCGACGATAACAAAAAGTGAGTAACTCAGACGTTACCACACCAGGTAGTACTTTACACCAGGACTTCTTGTGTTGTCTCCACAAACTCATAAACGGATGCACAAATTTGACGTACACCTGTCTAAATCAGTTAGTGTTGGGCAGGTTCAAAAATTCACATAGAAGAGAAGAAAAAATCGTCCGGGTATGTATAGACTTGACCAATCTGCTTCTCGTCTTCGGTGAAAAGTTAACATG